GAACCCGGTGGAGAAAAATAGTACTTGTGAGCTGTCGCCCATTTCTCTTGTCCTTCGCACTGCGGGTGTCTCTTTGGGAGGTGCGTAGGACAGGTGTCCGGATGATGCTGAAAGTAGATCCGGAACTTGACTCCCGGACCGCGTGCATGATAAGCGGCGCCGCTTGTCACTGCGCTACATCTCCCTGTAGATAAAGCTCATATCGTCGTAATGTGGCGAGGCGGTGCCAGGAGACGTGAAGTTACCCACCGGCAACTGTTCTTCCTGAAACTAACGGTTGCTTCACGTAGAAACCGGTCCGGGTGGGCTGACTGCACGCCTCTCGGCACCAATCCCTCCACGAAATGCGACGTACATGAAATACACATCACCAGTTTGGCTGAGCACGAATGGTTCAGTCTGTGGTACTGATCTATGAAAGGATTTCTGTGTTGACCCCTAACACTTGGCCTAATTCCTATGTTTCACAATTCGGCCCATTTCATGATATTTCCATATTTAATGAGCGATTGCCAATGTGTTTATCAGATTTCTATAAACACTCATCATTCGTTGGCGATAGAACGGCTTAGCGGTTGAAGGTAACAATATCGAAATCATAGTGAAATGTGCTTACATCATAACACTTCCGTTGAGCAGTTTTCACATATCCGCCTGTTGGTGGCCCTTATCATTCCCCACTGGCGAACAACTTTGAGCTTTTACTTTTTGTCGAAACTCGGAAGTTTAGCGGTCTACTATAACGCTAAAGGATAGAAACACTGAGCTTTTGCCCATTGATTCCAAGGGCCACGGTGATCAACATCAGTCGCAAGCGGAGTAAAGGTGGAACGGATACTGACCCTTGCCGTACACTATATCACAACTTATATCCCACCACCAATGTACCCTAACCACCTCTGAATTGCTTACTGGAAGAAGTTCCCCAGTGTGCTACAACTCGTGCATTGAATTTTGTGGCTTCCTAATGTTCCCATCCTGCCCTCTCCCCGTCGTACTTCTTGGAACCGACGTCCCGTTGTTGCTGGGGCTGACGTTGTTATTAAGGTCACCCTCCCCTTCTGAAGCTCCTCAAGGTATCTTATCAGCTGTTATCACTGCCTGCCACCCACCAATGATGTCCCATCCTGCCCCCTATCTTACTCCTTGGAACCAACGTCTCGTCGTTGCTGCGGCCCGCGCCATGAATTAGGTAACCCACTCCTTTTAAGGCTCCTCATGGTATCACATCAGCTGTCCAACGTTCGGTCGTTGCTATGGCAGGTGTTATGAATCAGGCAACCCACTCCTTCTAAGGCTCCTTATGGTATCTATCATGTATCACTTCCTGCCACCCACCACAATGTTCCTGCACGGCCCCTACATCACTTATCAATTTGAGCACACTATCAGCTGTTTTGAAGGAAGTTATGAATTTCCGGTCTAACACAGCAAAACATTCACACCCACACACAACAGACAAACTTAGCGATCGTATAAAATAGGATAGGACCGACCGTAGCCGGACGGCTGCCTCCAAGGCGTATAACACACTGAATAATCGTACAATCCTCATCATTACGGACTGTCGGGCGTGTCAGTGCGGCTGCGTTTGGCGCGGTACCGAAGTCGTTCTGCACCAATTGTTGAAGCGGGCAAGTGACATTACTGTATTATAATTCCTGTCGCACTATCTGGCTCGTTTTCTACCAACTTTTTGTCGCATACGCGGTTTCAACAAAACAAGGCGAGAAAGGGCCTTCAATAGTGTGCGCACTCCAACACCTGACTGACACGCCCGAAGTCGCGAAATGATGAGGACTGTTCACTACAGGTACTCTATAGTTCTCTGCGGACGGTTGGGCGTGTCAGCCAGTATGAGTGTGTCACCCTATCAAAGCCGTTCTCTGCCTTCTTGTTGAAAAGCGCATGCGACAAAAAGTGGTAGAAAACGAGTAATACGAAGGATATGATACAGTATTGTCACTTGCCCGCTTCAACAACTGGTGCAGAACGAGTTTGGCACCGCGCCAAACGCAGCCGCACTGACAACCGCGACGTCCGTGGGCAGTTACACTTAGTAGGAGGTTGGTTCGTGCCACTCCTACCCCACTTGCATCGTGCGAATGTTGCGCGTCCCATTCCTCACTCAGTCAGCCTCTGTAGGAGCTAGTCTCCATCGGTGCCAGTTCATATGATGTCTACAGATCTGCACCCTCTGAGAGAAACAGCATGATACGTCCTAACATGGCTCAGTCAACATCAGAATACCTGTCACTGCACTCTCACCTAGACAACATGACGTTTCTTTGTCACTCGGAACACGACCTCCCTGAACCTTGCTGCGGAGTGGACAAATTATGCCTAGAAAGACAGACGGCATGCTATTTCCCGGGAACTACGCGTGAGATCAAATGTGTCGGTACCACACAATTGGGCTTACCGTAAGCTGTTTCAAAGACCCAAGTTTGAGGTACTCTTATCAGTCTTTGTTATACGCGTGTTGCACTGCCTCGGTGAACGTTCCATCGTTGAGCAGATGGGATATGGACGAGGCTGAGAGATGAGATCAGGAAGTGAAAGCCACGCAAGTTCTGCTCTACACCCGCAACCGGGTGTTACTTAAATGAGGATTAGGGGCTAATTTGTGCACTCGCTGGCCCCTGTACGCATGATTCTGTGCGCAGCTTTGGATCCTGTAATCCTCCCCCTACCTGTTTCCCTAGACCTGTAACCCAGTGGAGAGTAACGACCTCACCCACAATAGCATAGCTCGCCAAAAGGGCACCGTAGCCATAGAGTTGTCCCGGTCGTTGCACAGTTTCAGTTATCAGATACAATTCAGCAGTGCTGACATACCAGATTCAACATTTTATTTCAAAACGTATAAAATTATGTGTCGAGTAGATATAGAGATATGTAAATGGTGAACCATAAACAATACTTTAACTTAAGTTTCTTTTTCCTCTTCGCCAAACAATATCGGCAACCAGACGAAAATGTCCACGAATTGGACCACTGTCAATGCCATCAGCACAAAACTAATCAGTAATAGTGCTAGTGTGATAGCATGGCACATCTTCAACATCGTCTGAAACTTCAAAAGGTACTTCACTGAAAGAAAAGTTTGGGGTGCGTTCATACTCGGCGAATTCGCAGCCGAGCGAACGAAAGCGTAGCGACGCGCCTGATGGAGAATAATTGCCTTGTCGTAACATGTAAAGTGCGCACACGACCGAAAGTGTATGTTTGCGGCCGACGTCAGAGCTACGATGGACGATCGTGAGTTTGTTAGGTCCGTCGCACACGTCGCGCGCGGTGAATGACGCGACAATCTCAAGGCTGCATTGCCGTATCCAAAAGTTGTCGTTAGTCGACGGCATTTTCGCCGTACATTCCGTTATCGGACCTTCGTCATGAGTCTGTCAACATTTAAACGAGCGGTAAGACAACACAGCTCGTAAGCAACGGCTGCGGCGACGCCAGCCACGCCCACCAGCGCGGCGAGCGAGCTAGCTTGTGCCCCACGATTGAATGGGCTGCGGCGACGGCCAGCCACGCCCACCAGCGCGGCGAGCTAGTTGTGCCCACGACTGAATCTTCCCACACCGTACCTACTCAACCGCATCTCTCGGCGAGTGCAGCGTCAATCGATACGTATGTTTGCAGTGACGTACCGGTTCCACATAGGGTTTAATGTCTATTTGTACTGGCTTTGTTTTTGGCTTTGGTTTCTCTTTGTCCTTTTCTGTCGATAAAGCATCCTCTTTCGACTCTTTCGATTTGGATTTCTTCTCTGAAAATCTGTTTTTGTTGTGCGATTGGCATCGTACAAAACCTGTACACTAACCTGCCGTTCCAACTTCCGGACCACTAACGGACGTGCCACGTTCTGAGCTCAGATCGACATCGTCTCCTGGTCTAAAGAATGAACACTGCCAGGGGAAGTGCATTGTGACTAGCAGTCGGCCGGAAGGGTGGTTGGTGCAAGCCGACAGCACTTTTTAGAGAGAACAGGTACTGGAAGAGAAGACCAACCTTCTTATACAAAAGGCTGTTCAGCATCGTAGGTCTGCCCGAAGACCCCTTGGCAGACTTGTCTCAGAGGTCAACTACGTCCCGTAAAGTTGAAGGAGTGCAAACCTGAGAGCGAACTGTCCGAGGATAGTTTGTCCTGGCGTCCTTGCTGGGAGTGCCTGTTTTTTCGGCTCCTGCGAACCACCACCTGAAGCAGGTGGCGCTCCTGGTTTTGATGGGCCCAACGACTCATACTGATCGTTTGCCATGGACGTCTCCGGATCGACAGCTTCTTCTAATCAGACTTCAGGACGTACGTTATGCAAATGAAACCTACCGAGAGTTCGCGAAGTTGGTGTTAAATAAAAACCATGATAGCACTCTTGATAGCGAACCGAAGTACCAAAGCTCTAATCCTGGGCTCACGCAGTTGGCTGCGGGTATACTTCTCACAATTCTGCTTATGGTTAGTACTTGCTATTACGATCCTCTTGGAGCTCCTAGACCGAGCTTCCCACCCACACGGGAGATCATTCCTGTTCAACAAGGAATAGCCTACAGCAGAACCACTGTTGTGGTGGGTAGAGGAGCCAGTATCACACCTTCGAAGAGCTCCCTTTGCGTCCTTTCTTTCAAACTACGAATGTTTCTGCTAACATTTCCAGAATGCAATTTTGGCTGCCAACTAGTCAAGGAAATACTGATAAGATCATCGTAATTAGTGGGGCCGGTGTCAGGAAGCATGGATTGAGCCACCCGCGGCGTTTTCATAGCTGTCCTTTTTTGAGTCGAGCACTAACCGATCACTATTTGGTAGGAAAGGTAGCCGGACGTGGGCTCATTCCTCTCCTGCAGACACGTGGGCTCTCCTGCCCTTCCTGGAGATAATTTCTGCAGAACTCAAGCCCATCAAAATGTATTTCTCCGGTATGACCCCCTTTGCTCCCATCCCTTAATCCTCTGAAATTCTCCCTCATTACCAGACTTTTCTAAAATTTTTCCTGCTGTCCTTACATCATGGCTATTCTCAAGCTGCGTTCATAGCTGGCGATCGCTGATCATACGGCCACAGGCAATTGATATGTATCTAATCCTGAAGACGGATTCGCCGAGCTACCGGGGAATCGCAAACTATGAACGCAGTCTACCCAGCTCTCGCGCGGTTTCTTATTTATTTATTTATTTATTTATTTATTTATTTATTTATATGCACGCACAGGTGCGCTACAATATGAGCGAAACTTGGGTTACAAAACAAAGCAATACAAAGGAAAAGCAACGAGAACACAACAAATTTGGCAACAAAAATACCCACAAGCCGGGGACCCTCCAGACCCTAAAGCTTTTAAAAATCCTGAATGCCCACCATAGTCAGTATGTCAACTTCCTTCAGTCTCCTCTTGAAAACTGAGTTATTTAGCGCCTTCTACAGCTCTGATGGCAGCGACTGAGGCCATCTTGCTCCACGGAAAAAATTGAATCAAAAACCTTGGATCGCTGGGTCCTCTTAACTTAGAGCATTGTTAGGTAGCAAAAATGCGGCGCGCCATGATTGTCCTAAATATCGCAATTACTTATCTGCGCGACAATCTACACTTCCCTTTACAGCAACTTAAAGCAGAACAAAATATCATTAAACATTTGTCCATATAATAATGACTTAAGCTTGAGAAGCTTCAAGGCGCTTCCCTATAGCTGGGTAAACCTCGCGGATATGTCGGGTTGGGATGACATCGGTACATTAAAATTCTGGTGAAAGTTTGTTGGACCTTCTCAACTTTTGCCTGAAATTTTCTGGTATGAGCCAGAAAATTTCAGGCAAAAGCTCCATATCTGCGAGCCATACTCAAGTATGGGGACGACGTATGCTTTATAAAGCTTCAATAGAACCGATGGATCATTCAGTCGAATGTTTCTGAATATTGCGAAGAGAGCGGCGAAAGCCTTCCTGACAACAGCATCAATATGATGTGAAAAATCGAGATCAGAATTTATGAGAAAACCAAGGTCTCGAACTTCATTTGAAGTACTGAGAGAAATACCGTTGACGGTGTATGGTGCAAGCCTGGCTTCTCCCAAATGAAGTACACATGTTTTCGTAAAATTTATAGGTATTCCCCAAGCGGTAGCCCATTCCATCATGTTGCATACAGATTGGGTCAACGCTTGGTGCACGCATTCATAATTATCATTGTCATTTTGCACCGTATATTTTGATGTTTCAGCATACATTTTAGTTGTCACTAATGGGTGGGTATTGAGGTATGTAGGTAGGTCGTAGGTGTAGGCTAAAAAAACAACAGAGGTGACAAGACACCTCCCTGTGGAACTCCACTACTGCAAGGGAAGCGCCGCGAGAAACTGTTACCCACTTTGACACACATATGTCTATCTTCCAGATAGGAACGGATCCAGCTGAGGATGGAGCCTTCGATTCCTAACTGCCACAATTTCTGAAGAAGTCTTTCATGATTCACTCTATCAAAAGCTTTGGACAAATCAAAATAAATTATGTCCACGCCCTTTCCCTCGTTAATAGCAAGACTCCAATCAAACATACAGTCTGCCATAAGAGTACTTGTGGATGCACCGCTAATGAATCCGTGCTGCTCCGGGGGAATTAGGTTGTACTTAGTCAAATGCTCTACTATTCTCCCACGTAGTATCTTCTCAAGGGCTTTAGCCGGCGGCGCAGTGATACTAATAGGGCGAAAGGATGAGACAAGCTTTGGCTCAGGTGTCTTTGGGATAGCAGTAATAATGGACTCCTTCCAGCTCAGCGGTACTTCACTGAACATGAGAGATGCATTGAGTATCATACAGATCGGAATGCACAAAGAGGAGGCACAGTTCCTGTACAC